CCCGCGTGAGGGCGGCCGTGCCTTGCACTGCACAGCTTGGGAGGAAGCCCTCGCACGGCGCCCCGCAGCGCAGATGCTGCTGGAGCTAGTGCACACATGTCCTTAACACTAATGTGAAAATTGTGTCAGCAATTGCTCTTAATTATCCCAGAGCATCTTGTTTGTCTCCGTTATGTGGTATTAAATATGTGCTGTCTCCTTTCCAGTAATTGCTCTTACAGTGTGTTCATCCTGGCGGGTTCGGTACCTCTGCGAGAGCAGATCTGCAGCACGGCCTGAAGGTGCCGGTCAGTGTCGTTTTCCCCAGGGCCTGGCCGCCATGGAGTCCCACCTCGCTGCGGTGCGGAGGAGCCCCGACATCCCCACCTGCTCGCGCTCATCTTCTGGGCACAGAGCAGACGGCCACGCGTTGGGGGCTGCCGCCTGCCCCCAAAGCACTAACAGGGACAGTCAGGGACCCAGGGCCTGCGTTTTGCACACAGGGAGCGATGGACGGGGGAGGAAAACGCCACCCCTGCTTTAACTTGCCCCTCCTCTCCAGCAGGCTGAGCACATGTGGCCCCCAACAGTTCCTCCTTCCTCTACGTGCCTCCGTCCCCAAGTTATTTTAAATGTGGTCACACGTCCTCCAAGACATGCAGTGTTTGCAGGACTCTGCCTACGGTGCTGCTAGTCCCGTGCATTACCCAAAGGCGACAGGAGCTTCTGCCCTTCTGTCTGTGTCCATCTAGGTGTCATCACCAGCTGCCGATCTGCCTTCCATCGCCTGTCGTCGGGCGTTTGCTTCTCCTCTTTGTTGGTGGCACCCCTTGACACTGAGTAAAGGCGTTGCTGCAGGCTGAGGAGGCAACGCGCGCTCCTCGCCGTGCTCCTGGCTGCAGGGACGAGCACTCCTGGGGCCAGCACTTGCCTCCCTCTCTGGCCCTCAGGCCTTGCCACTGGCTGGGGAAGAGCTCCCCCAAGCTACAGCCAGGAGCCCCAGCGTGTGCAGGCGCTTCCCCAGGGTCTCCCAGTGGGCGGAGGAGCCGGGGAGAGGCAGCCAGGCCGCTTGGTCCTGGGATGCTGCTCAGCATCACCCTCCTGCCTTGCAAGGATAAAGATTTCCACTTATTCACCACCCCTCCGGCGTGCAGTGGGCAGGAGGCTGCTCCGCTGCAGGCCCTCGTGTCCCTTCCCACATGTGACCCGGCCTTTCCACGGAAGGAGCCGGCCTCAGGGAGAGCAGCGAGGCAGCACTGGGCAGCTGGCAGGGGCTGGGGCAGGCACGGGGCAGCA